ATATATTATTAAGCTATTTTATCTACATTACAATGATTTAAATTTGTAAAAATAAAACTAATACGTAAAGAATAAGAAAAAAAATTTCTTAATTTCAGGAAAATATTTAAACTATTATAAAAGATTATAATACATTTCCTTTTGCCTTCATATCATTATATCAATTTTATATCATTTTTTTCTTTATAAACATACTTTGTTATAAAATTACAAATATTCAATATTATTATATTATATAATTACTAATATGTAATTATTACTAATTTTATCTGCATTAATTTCGCATTCGAATTTTATTTATATTTCAATTTATTAATACGGTTCCATATTATTAATTTTTTCTTTTGTATTTGAACAATAAATATTTCATCATATACATATAATACATATTTAATAACTGAAATTCGGATAATTGATATTTTATTATATAAAGAGTATAAATATATTCATAGAAAATCTTTAATATTAATTTTATTCATAGAACATCTTGAAATATTAATTCTAAAAATTAAAACAAATATAAAAATTGAAAAAATATTGATTCTTATTTATTAAATTATTAATAAATAAGATTAATAAGTTAAATTTAATTAAGTTATAAATTAAAGTTTATATTATAGGAAGCGAGATAAATATTTTTATCACGCCGTCTTGTGTCTATCTCAGTTTACGTAAAGAAAATTAAATTGCTTAAGATTTAATAAATAAGCAATTTTTTTATATATCAACTAAATATTTTTTTATTTATTTTAATCCTTGGAATCGATTCTCTATAAATATCTCACAAATATCCCGAATATTTTTAAAGATATCTCTCTTATATTTTTTTTCACCTATTAAATATTATAATAAATTATTAAAAACCAATTTGGATATTTTATATGGTTTTATATATTATATCCATTCGTTGTATTTTCTCAATACAATCTAATCATAATTTTCTAATTAACTTTCACCGAAATATATTATAATGCATTTCTTATTTTTATTTCTTATTTTAAAATATATTAGAAATAATAATAAAATATTATATAATTATAGTCTCTCTGATTAAAAATTAATATTAATTTTACCAAAAGCATTTATATATATCTTAAGTAAATGTAACAGGAAAAATTATGAAATCAATCAATTTGATTATCTTCATGTAATTACATTATTAAAAAATATATTTAAAAATAAGTTTTTTTTATTATTACTATATTTTATTAATTAAAATTTATATCGAATTATATTATATCGAATATTCATTTTATTATAATATGTAAATTCTTTGTACTCATATTTTCTGTTGAACAAATTTTTTTTAATATTCTGGTAATTACACCAGGACCATTGTAACTCCACATATCACCTCGGAAATTATTTCGTATTTCTTGAATGCATTCATTAGCCATACGACGACCTATCATCGAAGCATCGAATCCTATAATTCCTGAACTTATTTGATTTCTATTCTCAGCACCGGCGAAATTTGTTAAATATTTAATTAGTCTGTCAAAAAAAAAAAAACATTTTATGTTATATATTATATAACATAATTATATAACATAATATATAATAAATTAATTGCAATTTTTATAATCTATCATTATTTTTTTCATTCTATATAGTAGTATATTCTATATACTATATACTATATACTATATACTATATACTATATACTATATACTATAACATGCACATCATATTATACAATATTTATAGAATAGCAAAAATTCATAAAATACTTGTTATTGATATTTATTATGATTAAACTGCAAATATCTATACAAAATATTTTAAATAATATCTAATTTGATAAATACAAATAAAAAAATAGAAAATCAAAGATTTTTTTCATCTATTAAATATTATAATAAATTATTAAACTTATAATTTGGATGTTTTATATGGTTTTATATATTATATCCATTCTTTGTATTTTCTCAATACAATCTAATCATAATCTTTTATTTAACTTTCATCGGAATATATTATAATGCATTTCTTATTTTAAAATAGAAATAATATATTTATATAATATATTAGATTATATTAGAAATAATATATTTTAACAAAATAATAATATGTGATTAAAAATAATAAAAATTATAAAACATTAAAATAATTTATATTTATATAAAAGAATATAAAAGAAAATTTATATAAAAAGAAACAAAATTATGAAATACAAGTCATAATAATATAAAATATTGTTATTCTAAAAATCTTGAATAAAATAATTGACCCATGACTAAAACACGTTGAAAAAATTATGAACTTAAAATATATAATAAGTAAGTATAAAATAAAAGATAATATTTTAAGCAATTTTTTCTTTTACATATAACTGGAAATATGTATATAAATATTATATATATATAATTGACATTTATAAAATCAAAATTTTTAAAATCAAATTTGGAAAATCAACTTTATAAAATCAAATTTTTATGATTAAAGAAATAGAGATTCTTAGAATATCATAATATGTTTATTATATTTTAAATATTTTGTCTTTTTACATATATATTCTATAGATTTTTATATGTAATTTTATATAAATAAATATAATACAATAAAAAAAATACAAAACATAAAATATAACACAATAAAAAAGATGATATATATTATTTATTCTTTTTCATATTAATAATATCTATAAATTATTGTATCCAAATAATAAATTTATAATTGTTTTAATGAATCAAAATTTTTAATTTCAAAAAATAAAAAAACATTGTTTTAAAATTACGTTAAATTGTTACCGATAAATAAATATTTTATTTATTGCTTTATAAAAATTTTATATTTTATAACCATATCTTAATGTAATATAATATGTTATTTGACTAATGTTTAAAAAATTAAAAAATAATTGGTTCAATCAAAACAAATAACAATTAGAAATAGATATAATCGTTGGATTCAAATGTTTTTTTGATTATTAATAATTAAAATTAATAAAAAATTCTTTTCTTTCCAAATATTAGGCATGAATAAAATTCTTTATATGAAATATATAGAAATTAATATTATAATATATATTTATTATAATATTATAATATTATAATATTAACATGTTAATATATTTATGAATAATATATTTAGAATATAATATATAATTATATATATATATATATTTATTTCTAAAAATCAAAACAAATACAAAAATTGCTTTATAAAAATAATTAAAACTTATTCATTAAATTATAAGCAAAGCAGAATAAAAAGAGAAAATTCTATTTTCATCAAGTGTTATTTCTTGTTTTGCTTTATTTAAAAATTGTTTTTAAATTAATAAATAACTTTCATTGACATTTATGTATACTAACTTTTACGTTTGTTTGAAAATAAAAAATGCATTTTTTATTTTTAACAATATATTAATTTATATTGTGAATATATACAATAAACATACATTATAATACAAATATAGAATTAAATGTAAATTAAATATAAACAAAAAAAACTAGTATAATAGATATTAAAATATAAATATAATACAATAAATATTAATATAGATAATAAAATACAGACATAGATAGTAAAAAAAAGCATAAGGAACAAATAAAAATGTAAACTACAATGAAGAATTCGTCCCTGTTCATGATTAAGCTCAACCAATAGATATGGTATATATCAATATACCTCTCATATGCAATAACATGATTGTTTTGTTTATAGTTGAATGCACAATAATTTTTATAGTAAAAAATTTCATAGCAATTTTGGTCAGTATGCATATAGTTGTAATTCAAACAATTAGTTTAATATTTTAATTTATAACTTCACTTTACATATCGCTCCTGTAATTATAATTATTTAATTCTAATATTTTTATTATATCGATATTAATTACCAAATAATCTCTTGTTTTTTTTTATAACATAGTTATATATTTATATATTTTATATATTATATATATATTTTTATATATTTTATCGTTTTATCGAAATCTCGTACACCTCATTAATAATGAATAAATCCTATATATTAATATTGATTATTTAAATGAATTTTCTTGTTAAAATAATAATTATATTATAAAAAGATTATTTGTTGTTTATTAATTAATAATTTGTTTAAAGATAAACTGATGATCGATTATTATCGATATCTCAGATTATCAGAGAATAATTAGATGCTATGTACAGAGCATTTAAAATAATTCCATGAAAATATGAAACATCTTTGGAAGGTGAATTCTAGACATCAAAACGATTAAAAAAAATTCACGAATATCCGATAAAGTTTAATTAACGAGTTATAAATATTTTAAGTTTATATAGAATGAGATAGCGAAAGAGAATGCTTAACTGGATGCAATACTGCATTGTTTGCAATAATGGAATCTCTCAATAAAAATAAACACATTGATATTTTTTTATATGATTATTACACAATTTTTATTATACAATTGATTTCAAATGAATTTCAGTATAATATACGATATACATATTATATACTAATAATAATATTTGAATAATAATAATTGAATAAATACTAATAATATATTGAATAAATTTGAAATTTATAGATTAATTGAAATATTATTTGAAAAATTTTTATCTCCGTTTTATTTGAATTCAATGTTTTTTATTTCGATATAATATTGATTCATATTATCAATAAATGATATCCAAATCAACTATTATTATTCTCTGCATAAGAATAAGAAATATTGTGTAAATGAAATAAAGATAAAGATTTGTCAGTGATTTGATTGAATATTTAATAATTTGAAATTCAAATTGATTCATTAGTACTTTGGATTTTCTTGTACATGTAAAAATAATTAAAAAAGTAATAGTGCATAGAAAAACATATTTAATCTTTTTAATTCGAAATCTTATAAAAGTATATTTGATTTGCTTCTATCGATTTCGATTGTACGGTAGGTTCAATGAAATATAATTCATCTATGATAAATAAAATATTGTGTAATTATCGTATAATTCCAAATGTTGAAATTTGTTGTAACTTGTTCGAGTAAGTTTCTGTAAGTTTCTGTTAACGTAGATTTTAATTTATATAATTAAAAAATTTTTTTAAACGATATAAAAATGTTGCATAATTATATTACACGATATTTATACATATTATATATGACTTTATATTGAAATTTATTTGAAATTTATTTGAAATAATTTAAAAAATATATGAAAAAATATCAGTGTATTTATTTTTATTGTTACAAAAGCATTAAAGAGATGCAAAAGATATTGCATATATATATAGTTTTGCCGCGCATCCAATTAAACATTCTTTTTTGCTCACTCTATCTAATATAAACTTAAAATAATTATAACTCGTATATATATTATGTTTATATATATATTATGTATATTATGTATATATATTTGTATATTATATTTTTATATATATATTATGTTTATATATATATATATATATATATATATTATACATATACATATATATTAAATATATATATTACGTTTGATACGAGATTCTTATTTTTTTTAGAGATACATATTTAATATCATAAAAAGCATCTATGAAATAACTAAAAATTTTTTATTTTCAAAAATAATTTTAAATAATATGACATAAATTAAATTATTTTTATATTTAAATTATTTTGCAGAACATCAAAAAATTTGTGATTCCTGAAATATTATTT